TTTTTCTTTCTCCAGATTTAGTTCAGGGCACCAACACTTAATTGTGGCTCTTTATTTAATACGGAGTCATCTCGATCTTTTCTAATTAACTATTCTTTTTAAACAATTTTGCCTTGTTTGTAAAAGACACTCAATGAAGTAGATTGCCAGTTGCTATGCAGATTTTAGAAATGGAAATTCTTAATTTGATTTTGATTTTTTTTTAGTTGTATTTTTATGTTGACATGTTTTCTTTTTGTTTTTTTCAGTGGACAAAGTGGAAGCTTTGAAGCGGTACAAATTTAGCTTGGCATTTGAGAACTCCAACGAGGAAGATTATGTCACGGAGAAATTCTTCCAGTCTCTTGTAGCTGGTAATTTATACATCGTCTTACATCTTTCCATTGGTCGATAAAAAAAATTGATTAGGAAAATTGTGTATTGGATACATATTTTTAGAAAATGCTCTACAACTTAAGATAAATACTGTATTAACTTGTAGTGTTGGTGTTGAACTTATACCATTTTCTGAAATGAAAAATGGCATTCTTCGTGCATTATAGGTACTATTCCTGTTGTCATTGGAGCCCCTAATATCCAAGATTTTGCTCCCTCTCCCGATTCGTTATTGCATATCAAGGAAGTTAAGGATGTTGATTCTATTGCCAAGACAATGAAGTATCTTGCCGATAATCCCAAGGCATACAATGAATCATTGAGGTGTGTTTTATTACAATGATCTCATAGTAGACTTCATTCCTAAACACATGAAAACCAGAGGGTGTTTGTTTATTAAAAAAATTAATACTCATACCGAACTCAATTCCACGATCTTCTATATTATCAATATAATATAATTAAATAATATCAATCAATCATTCTTACAAAGCACATCAACATTAATTCACTATTCATATACTCATATAATTTTAACTAACCATCACTTCACATCACAACATCTCTCTCCTACTTTTACATAAAATCAATTTTAATTATTTTATTTTAATATCCCACTAAAAATTAACCAAATCAATATTTTTCAAAATTAACCATGGTTAACTAAAAAAACCAGTAAAAATTTGGTTTATTTGTATTCAAACATGCCCCAATTTTTATAATTAAGATACAAATCTCAGACTACACATGATGTTATTAGCTTCCAAACTTACAAATAGGGATTGGTTTGTTTAAATTTATATATTTCTTTTTATGCAGTAGGCTATACTTCCTCGGTAGTTTTGAAATTCATCCCTTTTTTTAAGGGATTGACACACCAGCTTTTGATGTCCTTATTTTTATTTTTATCTTATATTTTTTGTTAGATGGAAGTATGAAGGGCCGTCCGATTCTTTTAAAGCTCTTGTTGATATGGCTGCAGTGCATTCTTCATGCCGACTATGCCTTTACTTGGCGACCAAGATTCGAGAAAAAGATGAACAGACCACCCCACAATTCAAGAAACGACCCTGCAAGTGTACCCGTGGCTCGACAACCATATATCACATTTACGTGAGAGAAAGAGGGAGGTTCGAAATGGAGTCCGTTTTCTTGAGGTACTTATTTCCCTAACAACAAAAAGAGCAAATTTTTCCAAAGCCATTCATTTCATCTCTTTTAATACTTTTATTTTCTCATCATTTTTGACATTTGGTTTTATTAACTATATAGTATGCAGTGATTATTAATTCATCGAAATAAATATAAATAATATAAAAATATTTTCGTAATCATTTGTTGCAGGTCGGACAATTTAACCTTGGAGGCTTTATCTTCTGCTGTATTATTGAAGTTCGAGTCTCTAAAGCACGTGCCCATATGGAAAACCGAGAGGCCGGTAAGCATAAGAGGTGGTGATGGCCTAAAAGTCTACAAATTATATCCCGTGGGATTGACTCAGAGGCAAGCTTTATATACATTTAGTTTCGGTGGAGATTCTGATTTTAGGCATCACATAGAGAGCAACCCGTGTGCCAAATTCGAAGTCATATTCGTTTAGGTCCGATATTTCGGAAAAAAATTGCAGAAGGGATTTCGAGAGGGACAATGCATGGGTTTCTGTGTGACCTAAAAGGGGCAG